ATCTATCTATCTATCTATCTATCTATCTATCTATCTATCTATCTATCATCTATCTATCCATCCACCCACCCACCCATCCATCCATCCATCCAGGAGATCACACCTTGATAGCTAGGTTAGTCTATGAAATCCTCATCCTAGCTTTTCAGCTGAGTTACCTGGAGGGGCATCAACCCATCCTAGGAGACAGAGGCGGGTCGCTCCCTCACCCCATTTGCCCCTCTCCTCCCTTTAAGCCCACCCCGCAGGACCCTCCGTACCCATACAGTTGTTCCCTCCGTTGACTTGCATGTACTCCGGAGGGCACACACAGGTGTAGTTGCCGAGTGTGTTGTAACAGGTCCCCGGCCCACAGATGCCGATGTGAGCAGAGCATTCGTCGATGTCTGGAAAGGACACATCAAAGTTTGTGGGAACAGGGACCAAGGGCAGGTCAGTCGGTCAGCTGTCCCAGGATGAAGGTTGGAAATCTGAAGAAGGGGGTCCCTGCTGGGGGGGATGACCTCAGGAGACAGGACGGAGACCCCCCCAGACCAGAGGTGGGCTTCAAAAAATTTAGTAACCAATTCTCTGCCTGGCTGCTGGGTAGGCGTGGCCTAGTCAGCCTCCTGAACCAAGGTGGGGGAGCTGTTTTTGCCCTCCTTGGGCTCCGGAGGTTTTCCTCGAGCCTCCCGGAGGGTGAAAATGGCCTCCCCAAGCCAGTCATTGCAACTACTGGTTCGGTGAACCAGATGTAAAATTAACAACCAGTTCGCCCAAACCGGTGCGAACCGGGAGCAGCCCACTCCTGCCCCAGACATAAAAGCTACAACAAGGGGCAGAGGAAAAGGAGGGTGTAGGAAGCAACTCAAAAAAGACCCTCCCTAGTTTTCCAGAGAGTAAAAGAGGAGGGGGAGGGAGAGAAAGATTCTGTTAATATAACCTTACAATAAAGATAGGGCTAACAGACCCTGTCAATCTCTCCCAAAGTCATTAAGCCATGAAGACGAGTGGACTTCAACTCCTGGGAATTCTGGGAGTTGAAGTCCCCCCCGTCTTAAAGGGATCAAGGTTGGGAGGCCCTACACTAAGTGAATGGGCTGGGAGAGTCCACGGACTGTATTGGGTACATACACCCCCTTCCCTAAGAGCTCACCCCCCCTGCACCCCCACAGACCCACCTTCGCAAATACGGGTGTCCTCGTTCAGGTAATAGCCCGGAGGGCACTCACACTGGAAGCTGCCAAAGGTATTGACGCAATTGCCTCCCTGGCACAGGCCTGGCAGCTCCTGGCACTCGTCTATATCTGTGAGAGAGAGGAAAGGAAGATCAAAGGATCTGACTTTTTTTGGAGGGGGGGAAGCGGGGGATGGGTTTCTGTCCCCCCTCTCCCCAAAACGGGATCCCAGAGAAAATTAGTGGAGAGACACAAATGGAGAAGAGTGTGTGTCTTTATCATTCTTTTTAAATGAGAAAGAAATCATAATTATTAATTAATTTAATGAATAAAGTTCATATATTATTATCTGTTTTATTTCATAAACAAGAAACTCAAAAAGGAAAAAAAAGGAAAAAAAGAGAGATAATAATATGCGGACTTCATTTGTTAAATTAATTATTATGTGTGTTTATTCTTTTAAATAATAAATAAGTCCTAATTATTAATTAATTTAATGAATGAAGTCCACATATTATTATCTCTTTTATTCGTTAAACATGAAACTCACAAAAAAGAGAGATAATAATATGTTGGCCATTCGTTAAATTAATTATTATGTGTGTTTATCATTCTTTTAAATAATAAATAAATCCTAATTATTAATTTAATGAATGAAGTCCGTGTATTATCTCTTTTATTCATTAAATATGAAATGCACAAAAAAAGGAGCCGTAATAATATGTGGACTTCATTCATTAAATTAATTATTATGTGTGCTTATCATTCTTTTAAATAATAAAGACATCCTAATTATTAATTAATTTAGTGTATAAACTCCACATATCATCATCATCATCAATATTATTATTAATATTAATATTATTAATTGTAATAAACATTTATTCATTAAACATGAAAATCAGTCAACTGAACATTTAAAAATGTATCACAAATATCATTGACTGGCTCTGATGGGTGATATAGGTTGCTGCCAGCATCCTAGGTATAATTATTATTGTTGTTGTTGTTGTAATTGTTACTTTATTTATTTGAATTTTAGCCATTATTGTTATAGGTTATATTGTTATAACCCTAGACATACAACAGTTCATTAAGTGACTGTTCAAAGTTACAACGGCCCTGAAAAAAAGCAACTTATGATAGTTTTTCACACTTAAGGACCATTGCATCATCTGTGCAGCCACGTGATCAAAATTTGGAAGCTTGACAACTGACTCATATTTATGACAGTGGCAGCGTCCCGGAGTCCCATGATTCTCTTTTGCGACCTTCTGACGAGCAAAGTCCGTGGGAGAAGCCAGATTCGCTTAACGACCAGGTGACTAACTTAAGGAGTGCAGCGATTCACTTTACAACTGTGGCAGGAAAGGTCGTAAAATGGGGCAAAACTCACTTAACGACCGTCCTGCTTAGCCACGGAAATTTGGGGCTTGGCGGTGGTCGTGCGTTGAGAACTTCCTTGGACGCACGTTTCATTTTTGTAATTATTGTATCATAATAATTCTTTATATCACATTATTTTTCTGTATTATGTGATTTCTTAATGTAAGACAGGCAGACCTCGACCGACATAACAATACACATAATTGGACTGTGTTATTTTAAAAATGAAACAAACAGGTAAAGAATAAAATTTCTCTTTTGTTCAGGGGTTGTTGTGGTTCGCCAGCAGCAGGTGCGGATGGCGGAGGTCTCGGAGAGCGAGGACTCAGATGAGGGGCCTGCGTGTGATGCAGGGATGGGGCCAGGACTATCAGAGAGTGGGTGCTGCCTTCGGAGGTCGTGGAGTCTGGCAGCAGTGAGGAAGAGGCCCCCGAGGAGCCTGTGCCTAGTGCACGTGCGCCCAGGACTGCTCGAAGGAAAGTGACTCGGGAGTAAGGCTGCAAGATGATGGTCTCTCCCATAAGGGATAAAAGCCAGCCTTCGGTCTTGGCTTCTTTGCAGGAAGCAAAGACGTTCTTTCTACTCAGAGTCCTCGTTGAAGCCCTGCTTACTCCGGTTTGTTTTTTTTGAAACTTCTGGCTTGGGATATTTATCTGCAATTAGCCTTTTATTCTTGGTAGCCTTTCACAACCTTGAAAGGGCTTGCTCTTATCTGGGACAATTAATTTTGAATGACTCTTGGCTGTGAATGCACAGAATTCACAGCGCTGCATTAAAAAGGCTTGCTTTTATACATACTTTGTGCTTGTTTCATTTGAACAAGTCTTGGGTCAGAACAGGGGTGAGGTGGAGGAATGACATGCCGTGCAAAATCAAGTGAGGCATGTTCTGACTTTCTGGCATGCAGAGGAGCCCAAAATGTTCGCCTTTGGTGGAGTAGATGATCTCCACGGGTTCCTGGGGGCTGCCATGGAGTCTCATTATCTGAAACCTTCTTGGCAAAATGTTCAGCTTTTTTTTTCTGGAGAGTAGCTTGAAGAATGGCACCAGAATTCCAAATGTGTTCCAAGCCTACACACACAATGGCCGTAACTTTGTAAATCACCGACTAATTAGTTTGAATGGCAGCGGAGATCCAAAAACGTGCCAACTCCTGATTAAAGGGTTGGCCCGGCCGATCAACCCAATTCAATATTTTGCTTTATTCTGCAGCCAAATCTTTTTCTCTTTTTGTCTCTCTGTCTCTTTCTCTCTCTTTTTCTCTGTCTCGCTTTCTCTCTCTGTATTTTTCCTTCTTTCTCTTCTTCTGTCTGTCTTTCTCTGTCTTTTTCTTTTTGTCTCTCTGTCTCTCTTCTCTTTCTCTCTCTTTTTCTCCCTCTCTCTTTCTTTTTCTTTCTCTCCTTCTGTCTCTTTTTCTCTTTCTGACTGTCTTTCTTTTTTCTCTGTCTCTGTATCTCTCTGTCTTTTTCCTTCTTTCTCTCCTTCTGTGTCTTTCTCTGTCTTTCTCTTTTTGTCTCTCTCTTTCTCTCCTTCTGTCTCTCTTCTCTTTCTCTCCCCCCACTTTCTCTCTTCCCACAATTCATCATCCTGATACAAACAATGCTCTTGGGATGTTCTTTTAAAGCCGGGGAATTTTTCCCAAGGCTGCCATTAAGTAATGGGATGGGTTTTTTTTTTAATACGCAAAGGTTTTGGCATCGAAATACGCTCTCCGGTGCTGAATTTCAAAGGGTCTCTAAGTTCAGGTGGGCTCAAGAGATCCTTTCCAGCCCCCTCTCCCCCTGTCCAAGTGACCCACTGACCTACCTTCCAAAATGACCGTGATGGGGTTGGGCCGGAAGCCTTCGCCACCTGGACAGAGGGTCTTGTATTCGGCTGTAGGGTGAGAAACGGTGGTGGAATTCAAAATATTTTACTACCGGTTCTGGGGGTGCGTGTGGAGCATTCTAAAACGGGCAATTTTAAGCATGAAAACTTACTTTACCGTCAGCGCTGGTGAGTAAAACAGCTGAGGGGCGGGAATCTGATCAGCCGCGCCTATCAGCTGAGCTACAAAGGAAATATAGGATGGGGAAGAACGGCAGCGGGTGGGCGGGGCCAACTGCCAGGTGGCGCCACCAGATAGTTAGAACTGGTGCAAACCGGTAGCATGTCGCCACTGGTGAGAAGTGAATTCCAGATGGAGTTTAGACTTTGGGGATATCTTTATTTCAATCTTGGTGGTCACTTTAAGATGGGTGGGCTACAACTCCCAGAATTCTGGGAGTTGAAGTCCACCATTCTTAAAGTGGCCAAAGTTGAAAAATATTGTGGGATTTTTTTTTTTTTTTTGAAACACCTTTCCAGTAAAAGAGATCTGGAAGCACATTAAAATTAAGATAATTTTGATTCTTTTGGAGTCTGAGGTCATTTTCCCCGTCTTCCAACTTCCTCTCCAGGCTAAGCAATGAAGCAGATCAGACCAGGGATGGTGAAGAGGGATATAAACTAAACCAGTGGTCGCCAACCAGTGGGCCAGGGACCCCTGGTGGGCCGTGAGAAAATTTTGGTGGTCTGCAGAGAAATGTCCCCCCCCCAAAGCACTCCCCCCAAAGCAATTAATCCAGGCTGCACGGAAACACAAGGCTATGCCACCCACATGGCCCGCCCCCCCACTGACCCCCCCCCTCTGGCCCAGAGCAAACCCTACTCCGAGTAAAGCCACGCAAGCTGGAACTGGAAGATAAGACCAATGGCCGGGAATGAAATCCGCCCCGGGGTGGCTTGCTGACGTTGGTGGGAAAGTCGGTCCCCTATTCCAGAGCTGCAGTAGTCACAGGACTGGCCCTTTGACCATCCTGGAGCAGCTGTTCCAGTCCATGGCAGGCCGGTGCACCCAGGTGGAGGAGCAGCTGCTCCGGGACGACCAAAGGGCCAGTCCTGTGATTACTGCAGGTCCGGAACATGGGACCGACTTTCCCACCAACGTCAGCAAGCTGCCGTTAGTCAAAATTCATGTTAGTGGTCCGCGGGATTTAAAATTATGAGTTTGGTGGTCCCTGAGGTCCCCTGGACTAAACCATTCTCCTTTTCGGATTTGCCCACAAGTTCCCTGGCCGTGGAGAAGAGTTCAGGGGGGTCAGCAAATCTAGGGTGTCAAGGATGTGATCACACTTTGCTTTGAAATTTCTTCAGGAAGGAGATCACACCTTGCAATCTTCCCAGTATTTGAGGGGCAAACATCCCACAGGAAACCAGCCACACAAACCAATCATTCCAGGAATTCAGCCCTGGCATGGCGGCTGCTCTACTCACTGGTGTTGGCGGCCGGGCACAGCTCGCAGGGGTTCCCCCAAGCCCGGCCCAGGGAGCAGCAGCAGGATGCCCGCGTAACGCCCACGCCGATTTCAGCACTGCATGAGATCCCGCCGTCGCCGCGGTCTTGCGTGTCCAGGAAACAGTTCCCCACTCGGGTGTCTGGGGAAGGAGAGAGGGAGGGAGACAGAAGGAAAGTGAAGGAAACTTCATTTAATGACCCCATAATCCCTTGTAGGGTGGAGTCTGAGCAAATGAATGGAGCTAGCAGAGTGTTTTAATGGCCGGATGCTTTTCCTGTTGCCAATGCGGAGTTTTGGCCGGCAGATATATTCTCAGTGTGCCCAGAGAGAGAAATATCTGCTTCTATCTAGGATTGAACTCACAGCCTCCTGATTGTGGGGTGAGAACTCCACCTCTAGTCCACCACGCCACTCAATACAAAAATACCCACATATATTATATGACACAGAGAAACATGACAGTCTAGTTCGGATGTATCCATGTCCATGGGGAGAGAAACGAATCTTGCAAATTTACCAGAGGGATGGCATAGGGAACAAAGCCATTAAAGAATTCGGTAAAGTCCTGCTAGAAATTCTTCAAAATGCCCTCCCAGAGAGAGTAGCAACAGAAACAGACCGTGAAGCGGGGATGTGGGGTCTCTAACAATGTTTTGAGCTCTAAGCCCAGAGTGCTTATAAGGAGCATCCTGAATAACAGGAAGCGAGCTTCGTATGATCTTCTCCACTGCCCTCACCACTCTCTGAAGAGACTTTCTATCTGAGGCGCTGCGGCCACCAAACCAAAGTGGGATGCAGTTTGTTAAAATGCACTCAATCGTGCCTCTGTGAAAAGTGGCCAGGACAGGAGGCAGCATCCAATGAAGGAAATGCAGATGCTGGTTTGCACGCTTCACTAAGGATGACGTGTAGAGAGATCAGTTCAGAAACGAGGAGGTGATAAACCGCTTGGGAAAGCCAAGGGAAATCATCACAACCATTAAAAAGCGAAAGGTTAGAATATTTCGGACACGGGATGTGGCACCTGGAAAAATACAGCCACCCTTTGCTTCATCCTCCAGGGAAAGATTGAAGGCAAACGAGCTCCAAGCAGAAGAAGAATATCATGGCTTCAAAATCTAATTTTGTCTGGTTTAGACAAAACTCAGCAGCTCTTTCTTGTGCAGCTGTTGATTAAAATAGGATCGCCGACACGATCACCAATGTCCGATGATGGATAGGACACAAGAAGAGGAAGAATTGGAAGCCACTGCAAGTTGCAAGTTGCACGGGGAGATGGGTGTTGTGGCAGACTCGGACAGTGAGGAGGTTGGGGAGGAACAAGGGCCAGTCCTGGAGTCTGGGGAAGGCTCTGACGAGGGCTCTGCATCGGAGGCAGAGATGGGGCCTGGGCTGCCTGACAGTTATCAACTGCCTTCGGAGTCGGAGATCAGTGGGGCAGAAGAACAGCTGGAGCCTGTTCCCAGTGTGCGCATGCACAGAGCTGCCAGACAAAGGGAACAGTTAAGGAACAAGGGATGACTCGGGAGTAAAGGCTCAGGTGGGCAGTGAATGGACCCTCCCATAAATAAAGAGGAGTGAATAAAGAATAAAGAGGAGTGAAAGGGGAATAGGGTTTGGCAGGAGACAATTAGTTCAATTCATTAGGGTGAAGATCTGTTCCTGACAATTCTTGCCAAGTAATTGCTGCTACAGCGTGACATTTGGAAGATATCGGCCTGGCAACTCTCCAAGCCTGATAAAGGTCTGTCGTTGCGAAATCTCATGAAAGACTGTTTGCCAGGACTTTGCTGAAGAGGAATTCACTTTAACCTAAATAAAAGGGGTTTTATCGGGATGAGGAGTCGGCTTCATGATTTTGGGAAGCCTAGGTCAGAACAATGGGTGGCATATAAGTTTATGGAATACAATAATGTCATGGACAGCACTGCATGGTGGATCTGCCTGTGCACACCCTGGGGGGGGGGTCCTCCTTACCGACACACCCCACTCCGGTGGGGTTCAGCTCGAAGTCCTGAGGACAGTTGCAGAGGTAGCTGCCTGGCGTATTAACGCAAAGGCCGTTGATGCAATTCACGGGATCGGCACACTCATTGACGTCTGTCGGAGAGAGAGAGAGAGAGAGAGAGAGATGGGGAAAGGAGTTAAGCGCTGTCTGGGAATGGCTGACGGGGCCACATCCTTGGCGGAAGGAGCTGCCGAACCACTGGCGCTGTTGCGGTGGCAATCTCCTTAGTTTGTGTTTGCAAGCGAGGAACGGGCAGAGGAATGCAAAGACCGGTCGCCGATTCACGTTTTTCGGTGGCGTTCCAACTTCAGAAAGTTGGCAGAAGAAGTGGCGGTAGGACTACCTGTAGCGAGGATGGGTCCTTCCTGCTCACCTGTGCAGTTCCCACCGCTCCTGTCTAGCTCATACCCATCGTCACAGGCACAACGGAACATCCCAGGAAGATTCTGGCAGGTGCCAAAGACGCAGATATTCTGGAAGGTGCATTCATCAATGTCTGAAAGGAAAGACAGCGGATTTTGGTGGCTTTCACCTCAGAATTCTTGCTTCAAAAAGCTGCCAAAGGATCCCCATAACAAGATGAGCATTTGTTGCATTCAAGCATCTTGTCCGTTCCTGATTCGTTGTGGGTTCAAATGGTGTTTTATTGGACCCGGGTCTGATTCCCAGTCCCATCCAAGCTCTGGCTCAAACTTTTGAGAAGTTTAACAGAATAGCACTAGCAACTAGCGCTGGTAGCCTCGAAGCTTCTAAGAAAATATGGCTATTTATTAGACTTATAGACCGCTTCCCAGTGCTTCCTAGCCCTCTTTAAGCAGTTTACAGAGTCAACATGTTGCCTCCAACAATCTGGGTCCTCATTTGACTGACCTCAAAAGGATGGAAGGCTGAGTCAACCTTAAGCCGGTCAGGATTGAACTGTTGGTAGTGAGCAGAATTAGTCTGCAATGCTGCATTCTGACCACTGCACCACCACGGCCCACCCTTCCTTCCTTCCTTCCTTCCTTCCTTCCTTCCTTCCTTCCTTCCTTCCTTCCTTCCTTCCTTCCTTCCTTCCTTCCTTCCTTCCCGCCCTCCCTCCTGCCTGCCTGCCTTCCCATCTCTCCTTCCTTCCTTTCCTTGATTGCTTATTGTACCCTATGACTATTATTAAGTGTTGTACTTTATGATTCTTGATGAATGTATTTTTTCTTTTTTGTACACTGAGAGCATTTGCACCAAGACAAATTCCTTGTGTATCAAATCACACTCGGCCAAGAAAGAATTCTATTCTATTCTATTCTATTCTATTCTATTCT